TTTTTTTTTTTTTTTTTTTTTTTTTGGATGTTTTCCCTATTTTATTATTTGTTTAGGAAGAATCATTCTCGGTTAATTGATTTGAATATTTCAAAATTTTCAATGCAATATTTTATTATATAGTCAAATATATTGGTGAATTAAAAAATATATATTGAGTTATTTTTTTAATTTAAAAACGTTGAGCCTAACCCATTTAAGAAATTGAGTTTGACCTAGTATTTTTTATTAAATATATTTAAAGTTGCATTTTCCAAATTTATTTGAACATGTAATCATTTAAAAAATTCAAACAGTATTTTCACAGTTTTTAGAAATTAAAATTAAATTCTTACTTAAAAAAATAATTTTAGTTTGTTGGTCATTTCTATAAAAAGTCCCAAATTTAAGAAATTCATTTAATAATATTCTACCTTATTATATAGATTTGTTATTTAATATTTAGTACATGTACGGGTCAAGCCACGTAGACATAAATTTTAAATTAAAAAATTTAAAACAACAGACAAATTTGAATGATGAGAGAATTTTATCTTAATTTACAAAAAGAAATTTACGTTTCTCTAACGGTTTACAATGAGAACTCAATTTAGCGTTTTATGATTGCAGTATTAACATCCGAAATTGACTTGGGTTCTTGAGGATGGTGTTCTTGATCCCGAAACAATTATCATCTCCATGTTCCTATCGGCGATGCACCATGCTAGTCCGACCGAGATGCAGTGGCACGCCAAGGCAAGAATCAATGCAGGAGCAGGTGAGATCCTGCAGGCATGAGGCACCCAACAGAGAAGTGGGATCTCTATGATGCAAACCATGGCTTCTGGCGTAGAGCGCTTAAACATCCTTCCTTTCTGCCTACTTACAAACCTCAAACATTTCGTGTGAGATCCCACATTTGTTAGAGAGATGAACGAAATATTATTTATAAAGGTGTGAAAAACTCTTTCGAATAGACGCGTTTTAGAACCTTGAAAGAAAGCTCAAAGAGGACAATATCTAGCGGTGGGCTAAAACTGTTATAAATGGTATCATAGCAAAGCACTGGACGGTGTGCTAGTGAGGACGCTTGACTCCTAAGGAGTTCAACGTTTTTGCTAGCACAACACCCATTATTTGTCTCTAAGATCATTTGTAACAGTCTTGATATTGTTCTTTTTTTAGTTTTTCCTTACGGGCTTTCCCTCGTTGTTTTTAAAACACGTCCGCTATGAAGAGGTTTCTATACCCTTATATAAAGAATGTTTCGTTCCCCAATTATGTGAGGAATAAGGAGAATCCTCCTGTTCGATTCATGTGTCCCGATGGCTGGAGCGTATCGGTCGAGTACTACAGCAGCTTGGTTCCGACAAACAATGGGAGTTTCATCTGCTAAAGTATCAGTATATCAGCCCTTGATTTTTTCGTGTTCATATCAAATCAAGAACTCAAAAATCACACCGAATTTAGTAAAAATAGTTTGACAGATTTGGACAAGCTTTCTAGTTCATGTTGAAACAATGATTAGACACAAACCACACAGCCTGCAGCTATTGATCTCAACCAAAAAAGGCTCATTCTGCACATCAATATCATTTCTTTGTATTCAAACCATAATTTCTCATACACTTCCTGAGCTTCCTTATTTCACTAACACAGAGTAATGGAGAAATGAACGAATCAAACAAAGGGCTATTTTGTAAGAGATTAAACTACAAATTATTTGACTCGAACACTTTGATTCTTATGAATCTCATTAAACTAAGCTTGTTTATGGTAGGATTTCTGATTCATCATCAGCTTTTTTCCAATACTCCGTCATCATGTTGACGAATTCATGGTAATCAACTTGCCCATCTCCATCCAAATCAGCATCATTGATCATTTGCTGAATCTCCTCGTATGTTAACCTCTCCCCCAAATTAAGCATCCTAAGAACACTGCTCAGCTGCCAAAAAAAACATGAAATATTTTGATGGGTTTTCTAAAAAACAGGGGAAGAATATGAATTTGATCACAGAAGAACCAGATCTTTGTGTTTTTACCTCGTTTGCTGATATATATCCATCTTGATTTTCGTCGAACAGTTTGAAGGCTTCTTCGAGTTTCTCCTCTGTTTCTTCCTAAAAAACAGGACAGACTCGACTTAGAACAAGAACAAGAAGAAAAAAACTCAAAATCAGGGGACTCGAAAGAAATGAGACAGACCTTGAAGGTTTTGGACATCAAATTTCGGAGCTCCCCGAATTCAATGGTTCCGTTTCCATCAGCATCGACTTCGTTAATCATGTCCTTGAGTTCTTCTTCTGTGAGATTGTAATCGAATTTTTGGATCTCTGTTCTTAGTTCGTCAAGGGTTATGCAACCTGCTTGGTTCGATTCAGAAAAAAACGAGATGAATTGAACTGGATCATGATGTTAGGGGAAAAGAAAGGAAGAAAGAAAGTGACCCACCATCTCCGTTTCTGTCAAATAGATGAAAAACTTCTTGAAGCTGATCCATTTGTTGTCTGGTAAGACCTTCGCCCATCTCCATTAACAAAAGCTTCAGAGATCAACGCAGAGATACAGAGCGAGCGAGAGAGAAAGAGAGAGAAGCCTTGTGTGGGTATTGAAGAACCCCACAACCAGACCCTTAAATACAAAATTTCCCAAAACCCAATTATTAAAATGATTAAAATTTAACAAAATCAAATATAAATTTTAGCTATTTTCTAATATACCACTGGTAGAATTCTAATATTGTGTTAGGACCTATGAGCTATAATTCTAATTTTGTGTCAGAATCTACGAACTAAAGGACAATTTCTATGGTAACTAAGGCGTGTAAAGGTTTCTTTGGGCTAGACCGAGATTCACCCTCGAGTGTAAAGGCACAAGCGAGCTTGACCACAAAAGACCCATCGGTTAAGAAGGGGCGAAAGTCGACCTTAGTGATCTGAGACACCTTTAGGAATAAGTAGTAATTTCAATTATTTTAAGTCTTTCTCAACCATTTTATTTTCATTCGGATATAGTTTCCATTCATTTATATACCATACGTCACAATTCTTATTGTATTTAATAAATAAGTTGATCTTAAATCGATATTATATTTCCGACTAAAATATCAAAATATCAAAAGACCAAATCTATATCTTGTATGCCATTAGAAAAATATTTTATTGACAAATATGTGACCGGGATTATATTGGTAATTTCTCCTTTAAATCAAAATTTTTATTTTCAATGTTTTAGAACAATGATGTTATCAAATTAATATTTTGTAATAATCAATTCCATTGAATTTCAGAGAAATTTCATTCAGTCTCTCATGAAGTATGAAGATTTAAATTACTTTATTTTCTAGATGTTTTTTTTTTTTTTTTGGCAAAGAGAATTAAAAAAATGATCTTTATGCATAAAAAAAAAACACGTTCACGTTCGAATCCCTATCGCTGAACTAGGACTTATATTTTAATACATATGAGTCCGGGTATAAAATTTAGTCTCAATAGACTAAATAAATTTTTGTGAAATGCAATAAAAATATTCAATGATAAAAACAAAATTGTAATAAGAAAAAGGAAAATAGAAGCTTGGTTACCAAGTTTGGTAATTATTAAAAAAAAAGAAATGAGGGGCCAACGCCTTTGAAAATAATAGGCAAGACAAGATGTACTTGAAATAGTACGCGGTTTTCCACCTTCCAATTCTCTCTATTTTCATGTTTGCTTTAACAAGGGATCCATTTTCATTGTTATTTAAACAAAAAAACTAAATTTATAGATTTTGTGTTAAAATATGAGTGTGTGTTTAGGTTAGGTTGTGGTGGAGTCAAAGTTGAAAAAAAGGTACCAAATTTAGTATTCCATGAGTTAGAACATGGCAGGAAATAGGTTTGTGGCTGAAGTTTGAAGTTTGAATTTGAATATTGCTTGAAAATGTCTAAATTTGGAACACTATTGTCCTTGCTTCCTATTTTCTATTGGAATTGAAACCAAACTCTTCCAAGAATCAGAGATAGTGATGCATTTATTGATTCAATCATACGTGATACGCCTTCGAACACAAACAAACACATTGGCTAATTGAAATGTTAGCAAATCCGTACCCTAGTAGCCTATTCTAACGTAGCTAATTCTGGTCCCCCGATGAAATTGCAGCTACTTTGAAAAAATAGGCTATTTAGGCTATGTAAGGGGACGACTTTCCAGAAAGGTTAATGCCCTAAGATTGGACTCATCACTGTACTTTAACCACCCTCTCATTCCAACCCTTCTATTCTTAACCTCTGCCATTTTTTTGGACTTAAAATGGTAAACTAATCATGTCCCAAGTATAGTATACTATTAAGAAAGTGCAAATGCTTCGCCTGGAAACTTGGGAAGAAGTTTCAAGGTTGACCTTGGTTGAGAGTACTTCTTTGAAAATAAGTCGATAGTCACAATCACAACCTGATCAATCTTAGCCATACATAGAGTATAACTAAACTTTGCTTCTAATATGATAATATATGGTTCTAGCTGCATGTCACATCTGGCTTTGAGAAGTAACTACATTTATGACTAATTTCAAGGGCATTGAGCAAGGGTCGGCCTTCTTTTTAAATATTTGCAGCTATCCAAAATCATCTCAGCAAAGAAAGTAAGCTAGTTTATTGTCTCAAGAGGATATCTAATATCACTGCTAGGTTTATTTAAATGTACAATGCAAGGAAAAAGGTAACCATCCTAATTAAGCATTCAATTTATTTCTTCAAAATGAGCTTTACTAAAAGCTTTTATTTCCACTTGGCATCAAGAAAAAAAGACTTACTACGACCTCTCAGATGGTTTCTGAACTTCCCGGAGCTGGACTGAATTGTTGTAGCAGTGATAAAAGCCGAAGTGTGGGAATCTCTCGTACCAGGTTTCCTGCTGGGCATGTGTGTCCCAATGCTCCCCACTGCTACTCTTTCCATACTTATGAACCCAGCCTGAACCATTGTGGCCCTCGCCCCATGTTCGATTCCAACGTTCTCCGTGCTTTCCTTCCCACCATGTTTCTCCCTGTTTGACACCATGACCATTTGGATCGAAGTTTTCATCCCATTTGTCGCCCCACTTTGTCCAACCATCACCTTCACAACGTTCAGCCCATTTATCTGTGTACTTCATGCTGCCCCCTTGTCCATCATACTTTTCACCCCATCTGCAAGAGGAAAGTTACATGCTAAAGCAGATCGAAATAGACAAATTCTTAAGAAGCAAGTATTGCCACCGTATTAAATGTATAAAATCTTGAACAAGGAACCAGAAGATCGAGAATGCATTGTAAAAGGCCAAGTCAAGAGGACAGCAAGAACAATAGTTGATTTACATCACAAACGTTTGAAAGAAAAAAAAAATAATACCTTTCGCACCAGATATGAGCATGACCAGGATCGACATACGTGTTCGGGTCAATTTTACACCATTTATGAGCAGTTTTTTCAGCCTGACCAGAGCCACCATAATATTCCCACCATTTCTCTTGCCATTCAGTGCCGCTTTCATTTTTACCCCACTTGTCTGCAGTTTTTTCTAGGTGCAAAATGCCTTGCTCCTGAAAGAAAGTTGGTTCGGTTAAGGTCATAAAAAACTATGCTTTCTGCAGAGATGGAAATTATGAATCAGGCGTTAGCTACAAGGTGTTTGAGGGATCCACTATAGAGGTGGATCTCCTGTCATTTCCACACATCTAAATATCAGTGAATCCTTTTCAAATATCAAAGAGGAAGACACAAAAGAATCGGTTAGATATCAACTGACACATTGTACATTACACACTAATAAAGGCAATATCCAAAGAGTTATATAACTTCATTTACAAAGGTATCAAACTAGCTTTTGGATGTGCCCTGATCATTAAGCACTTGAAGTTAGTGCTAAAATAAACTATTTTAGCAGTATATTGCAATTAAAATCATCTTTTTTTTCCCTTGGAAATGGACATAAATAGATTATTGAGACATTAACTGCTTGCATATCGCAAATACTTTACAAGGATAATGCAATAGAAGCAAGAAAATCAGTAACAATTCAAACTGACCTGCCGCATAGATTCCCTCCAAGATTCACGCCAAACATTTCCGTACACATCGCGACCCGATTTCTCAGAACCAAGTTCCTTATAGCCAAACTCATCAGCAGCTTCCCAATACTTGTTCTGCCACTCAGTGGCTAGGTCTGCGCTAACTCCTCTGGTTAGTGTCCACTTGCAAATCACTCCATCTGGTCTCTGTTCAACTCCCGTCTCCTTCCACCAACGCGAACCATCCGATTCTATTCCTTCCGCTGATTCCTTATCTATACTAAGTGCCTGTGATGCTTCTGCTGCCTGTACCAAAAACTCCATCCCAACATTTGCACCTTCTTCCATGGAATGTGTCTCAGTACTAGATTCTGATGCTTCTAATTTTTCGACAACCACGGATGATTGAAAGGGTGGTAGAAGAGGTTTGAGTTTGCTTTCAGAGTGTTTGCTCTGAAATGGAATAGAGAGAAAGCCGACCGGTGGCTCTTTCTCCTCGACAAAATTGGATAACATTGGATATGCCTGTGATTCTCCAACTGGTTGCAATTCACTGGAAGTAGTATCATTCCTATCATTATCTGGAGGGGGCGTCCAAGACCAGAAATCTGGACCAGGTGTTCCAGTTTGTGAAGTTTCTAACTCAGGTAGCAGGGTGTTCTCACTTTGAAATTCAGATAGATCTAGATGAATAAAGAACAATAAACAAACAGAAAAAGAAAGAATGAGTATGAGAATCTGAACAACCACATAACCATGAAATTGTTTTTCTGACAAACTGAACCACCATAATACTAGTTCTATATTAATTTCTAGTCATGCTAGTCAACACTGCCATAATTTTCTCCATTAGATTGATTACAGATCTGCATTAATTAATCGATTTTCTGGACTTGAAACTCAGTGAAGTTTTGGCTGATCAAACATGAAAGTTTATTTAGTTGTATTCAAAGTTTCAACTTGAAAGAAAGTCAAATACAGCAGAGAAAAGAGCCAAGAATTTATATAATATGTAACTTGACCTCAACTAATATTATTAAAACTGTAGAGCTTTGTAGTCAACAAAATAGATCAATCCTTCAAGATTCAATCGTTCAATTAATTATACCTTCTTCACGCTCTAGCAGTCCACCGTCATTCCTAAGATTCAAATTTATAGAAAGATCTGAATCACGCGAACTCGACTCTGCCTCTGCCTCTGCCTCTGCAACAAATCCAGTCTCACCGACCAGTGCACGAGCAGCTGCAATGGCAGCAGCAGCTCGATGTATGACCTGCATCCGCTGAATCCGATCCCTTTCCTCTCTCGGCACCTGAAGAATCTTACTAAAATCATCGCTCTTCTTCTCCAGCTGATCAGCAATTGAATCACCGCCATCATAATCGACATTTCCCACAGTATTCTCCACAACTTTCTGAAACTCTATGCCTTTCCTCTGACGATCCACCGCGTTCTTCCACATCCCGAGATACGATTCTCCTCCATCCGAAACCCTAATTCTCAGTCTCCGCGTGCCTATAGCGCGCCGAATCTCAGCCTGAAGTTCCAGAGGGAGAACTAGAAAGTTCTTGCGGTTGAGTAGGGGAAAGTGAGAGGCCACGGTGGCGCGTGGAAAAGCTCCTAACCGGAACGCCATTGAGTCGGAAATGCAATTCTTCAATCCGAGTTGGATTTCAGGTCGTGATTTGATTTGTAGATGCCATTCTTCATCCCCCCCACGATACACCACCTATCCCTCGGGAAATGGAAGAGAGAAAATTTCTTGAAATGGAGATGCCGTTACCCGCCGGTCACTTTTCTTTCAAATAACTGTTTCTTTATTAGCACAGTTTGGACGGTGACACGTTGCGTACTGTCATGCCGGAGGGCTCTTCTTTTTTGGCGTTTTTGCCTACTACCTCCAACTAATTCTAACCGTCCAAAATTTCAAAATTTGTTAAAACTAAAAAAAGAAAAATATAAAACAACCAAATTTTAAATATAATAATTTAACCAATTATATTTAATAAATTTTAAAGATTTAAACTACACCAAGCATTTATATCCACACGATCAAAATTAAATTGGCATGATCAAAAAATTAGATTAATTTTTATTTATTTAAACTTTTAAATAGGACTTTTAGAATGTCAAAAAAAATTTATTCCATTTTTATTTTCTTTTTAAAAGTAAAAAAGAAAAAATGATTCTTGTATATTTAATTTTTTTTTTTTTAGTACATATTAAAGTTCGGTTACATTTTGGTCATTCAAATTTTAAATTTAGCAAATGGTTGCAAAATCTGTTAGAACTATATTGTTTCAATACAAGACGTTCTTATACCCTAGGTTTTTCTGGACCAACTACTACTACTTAAAACCCTAAACTCAGTTTATACGAGCGTCTGTATTTACATTAATAATTGTCAAATTCATATTTGTAGACTTGATATTCATCTTAATACTTAACACGTATCTTTGGATCCCCAATTTTGCTAGTCTTATAGATTCTAACATTCCCCATTATGACCATCTGTCATTGTCTATAAAAACTTGTTGCAAATTTGTCTCTTATTTTTATTAAATTAATAAAATATTTATAAATGTGACATTTTATCTTAAAAATACTTTCTTCAATAATATCTCAAAATATTTTTCCATTATTATTATTATTATTATTATATGAAAATAGTTAATATTTAGTTTTAAAAAAAATACTTAAAATGATTTTAAAAAATACTAAAATATCTGCTTTTCAAACCTTTTATTATTACCTTTTTACTTTAAAAAAAAATTTAAAAATACATTTATTATTAATATTAGTATTTCACATAAAAAAGAATCATAAACTTTTCAAAATAATATTTTCTTTTTAAAAAAAACCTTTCTATCCTGAAGGAGGTTAAAGCTATTTTTTTTAAAGATTTTTATGAGTATTGTTTTTTGAAGTAAATTTTTTTTTTTAAAAGTTCGAAGGATATTAATGAAATTTTTAAGGTTGAAACATATTTTTTTAATAAATTAACCCCTAATAACTCTTAACTAATGAATGAATGGGTGGAGTATCCAATAATCAATGTTGAATATTTTCTTGAGGAGGTAAACCTTATTAATTTTAATTTCATTAATTAATCTTAAATTATATATTTTAAACCATGATAATTTGAACAATTTTAATGATTTGACATTTCCCAAAATACATCCAAAACAAAACACCTGCAAAATCATGTTCAAAATCTTGGAAGAACCCTAATTTTAGCCTCCAATTTCAGTCATCACCGTCACCGTTCCTCTACTGTGCTCTGTACTCCCTCTGTGTGATTAAACAGTCTGTCCTCCACAACCAACCCACAAAGAGACAAACTGGGATTTGTTCTTACACTATGACAAAAAGAAATCTAGCTTTTTCTTCTTCACTGGCATGAAAAGGGCCGAAGCAACGCTTAATAAAACAGCCCACCAAGAGAAGTGACCCTTAGCGGCTGCGAAATTCTCTCTCTTTAGATCCATCGATTACAGCAAAAGGAGGTCATGGAATCGCCATTATCGCTTGTGGGTCTTCTTCATTTTCGCCTCTAATGGCGTTTCTTTGATCTTTATTGCCTGCGAGTGGATTATAGGTTTAGGGTTTGAATTTTTGTTTCTTGTAATTGAGGAGTAGTCGGGTATGTTCGAATCGGCGAGCCCGACAACCCAACGGGTTCTATCATCATCTTCTTCTTCGTCTACTGATACCAGAGGAAAACATAGGATTCAGGCTGAAGTGAAGCGGCTCGAGCTAGAAGCAAGGTTCCTGGAGGTTTGTCCCTTTTGTCTCTTTTGTTTGAGGCTTTTGATCGCGTTTGATTTTGAATGTGTTGTGCTGAATTATTACTTCCCAAATGTTTAGACGTCCATTTCTGAATTGGGAACTTGTGAAATTTGGATTGGAGCTTGAATTGTAATGTGAATTAGCTCTGTTTTGAAGGTGTTCATGTTTACTTTGATTCTGTTCTGATAGTTCTACAGGGGAACTGTCAAAATTTGTGGGTTATATATGTGTCCTTTCTTAGTGGCACTGTGATTTGTGCTCTCAAAATTTCTGAATATGATTCTCAGTTCTAACAGTTAAGTTAAGCAGATTATCTTTGTTCTTAAAGCTGGAAAATTATGGTGGTGAAATTGAGATCAAAGCTAAGAATGTTGTTCCATGTTTTTCCTGTTTGTTCCCCTTCGATGAGCAAATTCTTTTGTTGTAACTGCACAAGTTCAACCAATAATTCTATTTCGACGTGTCTATTAGGGAGAAGTTTCCACACCTTAACGAGAAATGTTTCGTTCCCCTCTCCAACCAATATGGAATCTCACTATCCACTCCAGCCCAACGTTCTCATTGGCATACCACTCTGTGTTTGGCTTCGATACCATTTATAATAGCCTAAGCCACCACTAATCGATATTGTTCTCTTTAGGCTTTCTCTTATGGGTTTTTCCTCAAGTAAAACGCGTCTACTAGGGAGAAGTTTTCACACCCTTATGAGGAATGTTTCGTCTCCCTCCTCAACCAACGTGGATCTCACATTTATATACTCTTAGTTTTCATTTGCAGTGCTCGAGAATCATCACTAAACATAAAAGCTTATCGATAAGGAAATCTAAATGTTATAACACAGATAATCTGCAATGACTACTAACATGCAACAAGAAAGTGAATAACATTCAATATATCGAATCTTAGAAGTCCCGTTAAATCACGACTAGAATCAAAAGTTTTAATTATTAAGCTAAAGTAAAGTTTATTGGGCTTTTTTATTATAGTTCTTAGCATTGATTGGAAGCTGGATTAATTTTTGTAGCATTGTGAACTGAATTCTAATGCAGGAAGAACTGGAACAGGTTGAAAAACTGGAGAAGGCATCAACAAAATGCAAAGAGTAAGCATGATAAAATTTATTAGGGATCTGGTGAATTGAGTATCCATAAACATACCCAAACAAAGTATGAAACTCTCCAATTCATTTGTGAAATTGCTGTTTTTGAACCTGCCAGAATGCTGAGCAATATGGACACAACACCAGACCCACTTCTTCCACAGTAGGATCATCTCTGTTCTTTCTTTTACATTCAAATTCTTTGTTCGTCTTCAACAAAACCGACCTTGAAACTTAATCTTCTTGTTCTGTCTCTGTTCTTGGTTGGTTGCAGAACCCATGGCCCTCTTAATCCGCCATGGGATCGATGGTTCGAAGGTCTGCAAGATTCGAAAGGTTGCCGATGCTGGATGCTGTGAGGCTGTTACGATTTCTCTTTGGATTCATATAGATTGGGAGAACATGACGATGATGACAACGACAACGACGATGACTTCTTGAGCTTAGGTACATTGTGAATAGCTTTTCCAAACCAATGTTGTATTCATTTGAACATACTTTCCATAAAGGTTTTCCCTTTCCCCTTTGCACATTATTTCTTGGGATATCACTATGTAGAAAACATTTAAGCAAATTATCATTTTTATATCCGAGAGGGTTGGGGCCAGCTCGGTTCATTTCGAACATGATTTTTTCAATGTTCTAGTAGGATACGGTTTCGAGTTTATATAATATATATTTGTAACAACTCAAACTCACTGCGAGTAAATATTGTATGCCTTAGCCTGTTAGGTATCATAGTCGGCCTTACGATTTTAAAACGTCATGTCTACTGGGGAGAGGTTTTCATACTTTTTTAAAGAAATACTTTGTTCTCTTTTTCACCTTTTCAGGGGCCAATGTCCTTGTTGAAGCTGAAAATATTGTCCACTCTAGTTCGTTATGTTTCGATCGGTGGTTTGAACTTGTTATAGTATTTTTTTTATTTTATTTTTTTTCTTGTTACAAATGGTACATAATTCAAAATTTATAACTAGTCGGTATAATTGGAGGGTTAATGAGAGCAATTATTGTACTCAGTTAATCTATCAAGGTCAATAACGAGAGAGGGAGCGGAGAAAAATTAATGCGCGGGACTAGGATTATATTTTCCATCTCCCTTTAATCCCGTTCAAATCATGAAATCATGACCCGCGTTAATTTTTATATATAAGTATAAACACATTTATATATATATATATATATATATATATATATATCAAAATTAAGTAACAAAATTAATTTAGTTTATTATATATATTTTCTTGGTTTCATAATTATTGAAATTAAATAAAAACGAAAAAAAAAAGGAAGTATTCATAATAAACCTCATCCAACCCATTCAATTACAGTGCGAAATCTGTAACACGTTTTCCGCCGTCGATCATCCGGCGGCAATTCCGAAGCTATCATCACCAAAATAATTCGTATTCCTTTGGAATCTCCGTTTCTCTCTCTGCTTAAATCACCATCTCCATTTCTCAATTCCCATTTCCTTCTCCAAACTCGAAATTCCCCTCACAATGGCACAGTCTCTGCAACTTTTCACCTCCTCCACCACCCGCTCTCCTTCCATTTCTCTTCCGAAACATTCCCTCTCAAAAACCCCCTCCTCTTCCACCGCCGCCTTCCGCCTCCCTGTCTCCTTCAACAAATTTTCAATTCGAGCCTCTTCCTCTCCGGATCTCAACCCTCTGTCATCAGCTTCCACTTCCCAAGTCTTGGTTTCTGAAAATGGCTCGAGTTCCGGAGGTGGGTTTGTGTCTACTTCTGCTACTACCAGGGAGTTTGTGCCGGCTGTGTCTGATGGCAGCTCGATTGACGTCGATACTGTCACGGAGGCTGAGTTGAAGGAGAATGGCTTCAGGAGTACAAGGAGGACGAAACTTGTGTGTACTATTGGTCCTGTTACTTGCG